GTGTGGGTGTGTGTGATGCACATTACCGAGGTAGGTGTGCGTGTGGTGCACATGATCGAAGCAGATGTGTGCGTGTGATACATAAGACGGAGGCAGGTGTGTGTGTGTGTGTGTGTGGTGTAGACGACAGAGACAGGTGTGTGTATGTGTGTGATGCACATGACGGAGGTAGGCATGGGTGGTGCATATAATCCTGCCCAGTACGGCTCAGGTACAGTAAATATATTAGTTGAAGGAGACCAAAACAATTATTTTTTTCTTGGTCACTTACAGTATACCGAGAATGGTATAATCTATTTCCTCACTAACAATAAGTACTGTATATATTCTTAATCTTAAACGTCTTTTCTAGTGTAAAACATGACACTTATAATTGGTGTTTAAAGACCTTAGCTATTGAGGGACATAAAACACGAAAATAAAATTATTTAGTTGTGTTCCAGTGTAACAGTAGCAGATGAGTAAGCAGCCCGCGCGCGAGCTGGAGTCAAGATGGGAATGAATACACGTTAACTATTACTAGGCTCATTATGCACCAGAAAACTCATAAAGAACATTTAAGATTTGTATGTATGTATGAGTTGGGAGGACTGCAGTGGCCGAGGTTAGGTTAGGTTAGGTTAGATTACATGGGCTTGACTTCACTATTATATTATTATTCTTGGCTAGGCGAGTTCATTGGGGCGGGTGAGTAATCAACTAAATAGGGTTTTAGTATATTTGCATTCGTTTTTTCTTGGTTCCCACAAGACAACGTTCAGTGAGTCGTCCTATGTGGTGACTAAGCACTTTTGCCCCTGTTAAGATGACTTACAGTACTTTTGGTTAAGGAATTTGGGCCATATTATTAAACAACATCTACCCCTTCCAACGAAGAATCTTTTCGAAGGTATTGTTCCATCAAGCGGTATTTTTAAATGCTCGAACCTCTTCCACTTCGTGCGGGATGATTTTGTTAGGTCTGGTAATACTGTCTCCTTCGCTGATGCATTGTGGGTCCTGTGTGTGTTTGTTTACCTTCGTTGGCGCCAAATTTAGTATTGTAACAGCTCTCGTCAGGGATGTTTTCCTCCAAAGTCTCCCGGGCAAGTCCCATATCACAGAGAGAGCGGGATTTCTTAGTTTATTTGATTGGAGAGGAGAGAATATTGAAAAGTAAAAGTACTTGTGGGAAGCTTGTTGCACTAAAGAAACAAGCATGGATACGCATTACAAGTTTCAATGCTGAGGGATATGAACCTCGGCGATCAGTAGAACAGCGGAAGTGGATGTGTACCCATCAATCAATTTCATTGATGAGGACCACAATTACTTTGCTGAAAGCATGCCTTCTACAAATCCAGGGCAAGATTTGTGCTTCACAAATCATGTACCAGAGCGTGCCTCCAGCAGAGGCGATGACCCAAATTTACAACCTGGCCCCTCAACCTCCCCCCAGAAAAATAGAAATAAAACGTCATTATTTGATGAAAAACGGTATGACCGACCAAACAGGAAAAATATAACCATTGAAGAGGAAGAAAATAATAAACTATTTTGGAGCACACGGCAGCAATTGTTAGATAAACAATTGGAAGAAACAATGATCAACATTCAACTTGCAAATAATCAAAAGTTGCATTCAGATTTGGAGATTCAGCTTGTCAAAATAAAGATTCAAGTTGAACAAAAGAAATTAGAAATGATGGAAAAAAATTCTGTTCAGTACAGTATAGTATAGTATAAAATTACTTTTGCATTGGCTCTGAATTTGATGAAGATGTTTAGATTAGTTTTGTGAGGAACGTGTTGGGGAAAAGACTGAATATATTTGCGCTACACAATATTACTCTCAACTGTTTCTACATAAAACACAACAAAATATATGTTGACATAATGAGCGTGTAGTTCATTCACTCTCAGAATAGTGATTCACATAACACTCAGCAGGTGTGCTGTGCACCCTCACTATACACTTGAGTAACCTACACAACTACAGTACATTAAATTTTCTCACTTAACTTACCATTACTATAGACACAGCAGCTCCTCTCTTCGTTTACTCGCTACACTGGTGCTTATATTTATACCTGTCTGCAGTGTATTCAACTTATATATCACTTCACACACGTCTGTAAATATTAGCGTGTTTGTTAACATTTGTTTCAGTCCAATTCACATATGCACAATGTTTGCTGTAGCCGCCCTCGTGCTAAATGATATGTGTAAACTCTGTACATAGTCTGCTTGACGGCTTGAATTAAATAGTTTGCGCTCGTTCTTAAGCTACCAGTACTTGTAAGTTTATTTTCTTCACTCTTGTAAGCCTTCCCAGCATGACGCAGGGTAACACGACTCTAATCATCTGCTCTCACTGTGTCTGTCATGATCATCTTCCACAACAAAGTACAGTATCAATATTTTCATCTGTTTACCCTTGTGGGTCCAAACAACCCAGTATTATCCCTTGGCAGCACGTAAATATTCATAATTATTAAGGAAATTACAGTATTTTTGGAGTCTTGTTTGGCTCTGCAGTAATGAGATACACTAATCCCTACAATGATAAATTATACTAAAGATATAAACTGTGGTGCATCATCACAGGCGCCGACGATTGACAACATCAAGTTTCATAATGGTCAATAAAAGTAATAACATACATGACACGGTTCATTCTGAGTGTTCAAAGTTTCCCAACATTTTATACTGGTCGCAGCTACACCCACCACACCAGCCAGCCCTGAGACACAACACTCACGAGAGCTTCCACAGTAATGCACTTACCAATCATTGTTTTCACAGTATAGTATCATTTTTTTTTTTTTTTTTGCTGGGAACATCACGTCAGAGAAATTCCTTACTGGCCGGTTCGTAATGAACATAAATGTTAGTAAACAGAAACACAATGAATGGCGGTCAGCAGAAAAAAAAGTATTATAATAAAGATAATTAATAGTAACTAGACTTTATAATTGATTGGAGAAAATAATGAGACTAAGAGGAAGAGTATGGACGGTAAAATGTTAAATGAGAACACATTACTAATACCTAAAAGTTAAAACACTCCTCTAAAGTACTTGGATTTTAATAATATCAAACAGGGAAGAATGAGGTGATGAGTCCAGTGGCTCCTTCATCTCTCTTACCATCTCTCTTCCCTTCAACTCCCCAGAGCTGTCTCCCAGATTCACATACTCACACTTGATCAACACTGTCAAAGGTCTCCCATATCCCTCCACAAATACAGTTCTCCTTTGGTATTGGCTAGTTATTCTCACGAGAGAGATAAATACACAGAAAGATAAAAAAGTAAATAAAAATTTAGCAGAAGGATCCACAGAATAAAACTAAGACTGGAAGACTGTGGCATCAAAAAGGGGGAAGAAGAGGACACGCTCATCAGAACATGAAGATGAGTGTGGGAGTGAGTAGAACACACACTGACTGAGAGAGAGGGTGGGCTGGGCCTGGGAGGTGGGTAAACTACATAAACACCTCCGTGGAAGTGATGAATTTTGTGCCACATACATTTCAACATATCGGTACTATACCTTTACGTAACATGACTACAGTATATGTTTCTTCTAGGGATGCATCGATTAATCGGTATGGTTATTATCGGCCAATACCGATACTGGTACTGTACTGTACATGAAGTATTTGTCCTGTAAGTCTGGGGGAAAATAAGACCATGCGAAGTTAAACTCCAAATTTTGCAGTAATACTGTAGCTCTAACATATAGCATATTGTTGCGATCCTGTTCGGACCAATCTAGACTGGTCCAACTGAGTCTTTTGGACTGGTCCAGAAAGTTCTAATTCTTAATATTCTTATGGAGTTAATTCCCGTGCCAGAACAGCCAAGGTCCATTATTATTCTATGTCCGGTTAAGAGTTCAGAACAGAATTAGTTTAAATAGTTATATTAAACACTGTACAATAGTACAGTATTAAATCAAACTATTTAAACTAATTCTGTAAATTTAAATATGCTTTGTGCTGTTTACGCAATGAGAATAGTTGTCGGTTCAACACCTTACTTAGCAGATTTTCGTCCTTAATATTTTCATACACTAACATTCACCTATATGCAGTAGTAATCAAATGCAATTGTTAGTTCTAACCCTTGGACGACGGGAGATTGAAGGCTTCCTTGTGAGTTTTGAACTTTTGATACCAGATAAATGAAAAAAATAAAATTACTCAACATAAATTTTTCACTTTGCTAATAACTGTAACTGAAAAACAGTATCGGTATCGGCCGATTAATCGGTATCGGTAAAAAATCTGTGCATCCCTAGTTTATTATTATTATTATTAGTAGTAGTAGTAACTTAGCCCTCGATGCTGCACACAGGAAGAACGATAACGACAAGATAAGGGGATACGGGGAGAGAATTCAGAACGTTGATCAAGGCAGCTTCACTCCTCTAGTGTTCACAACCTCTGGTGGGATGGGACCAAGTGCAAGATGTTTCTATGCCAGACTCGCGGAGGTGATCTCCGAACAGAAACAGCAGCCCAGAAGTTATGTTACAGCCTGGATGAGATGTCAACTGTCCTTCTCTCGCCTTCTGTCGGCTTTGCTCTGCCTCAGGGGAACGAGAGCTTCAGCCCCAAAGCCGACAACAGCTGCAGATATTGACTATGAGGCTACAGTCGCTGAATGCGGCATAGATCTGCGGCTCAAATAATTCAACATAGCTAGGATAGCTACTTATGTATTAGGATATTTAATATTAAGGTAATAAAATGGCGGCGAAGGTGTGGCTATTGGGGGAGGCTGGAGGCCACGTTAAAAAAATAAATAAAATAAAATAAAAAATAGTAGTAGATATAATAATAATGATAATGAAAATAATAATAATAATAATAATAATAATAATAATATTATTATTATTATTATTATTATTAATAATAATAATAATAATAATAATAATAATAATAACAATAATAATAATAATAATAATAATAATAATGAAAAAATATTGATATACTATAATAAGATTTCTCTCTTTTTACAGACAGATTCAAGATGATGAATGAGGCTGTCAGGCTGTCTACACTCGCACACAAGGTGAGTGAGGAAAGTAGAGGAGGGAGGGAAGAGGGAGGGAGGGAGGGAGGGAACTGTTAAATTAGCAGGTTGTGTCGTCACTATGGAGGAGGTCGAGCTAGTGGGCGTGGTCAAACTACATAATAGGCTTTCACGTGCAGCTACTGGCATTCTGCCATTCTCTGACCTTGTCACCAGCAGCCAGTCTCCTACCACTGTAGGCGAGACAGATCTAGTGTCATATGCAAACAGTGTAAATAAATACTGTACTTACTAGTCTTACTTGTAATTTACATGTAAGACTAATAGTCTTTCGATATTTACAAGTTGTATAATTATATGGAAAGACAAAAAATATATCACTATGGAACGTGTACTTACGGAGGACAATTCACAAATTATGAGCACATTTCTCCCTCATGTTTGTACATGGCGCTCCGTAACACATAAACATAGAGATATTTTCCGATATGATTCGAGACCACGACTAAACACCGAAAATAGAATAAATTTCAAATGACAAAAAAATAAAAAAATGAAAAAAATCATGGTTCAAAGTTAATTACAGTGAACCTCGACAATCATCAATTCAATTCAATTTCAATATTTATTCCTTGATAGAGGAAGCGGGATCCTAGTGCTGTCACTAGGTACCCCTGTACAATAACACCAGAAACATCTGGCAGGTGTCACAAATATATATATATATATATATATATATATATATATATTATATATATATATATATATATATATATATATATATATATATATATATATATATATATATATATATATATATATATATATATATATATATATATATATATATATATATATATTATAAAGGGGCTTACTAAAGCCTAAGGAAGGAAGGATATTCCTTTAACACATTATCAATATTATTTTCATAGTATCTGGCCAGTATGGGGAGGATCATCGTGTCTCCGTCAGGGGGTCGTGGACTGGTGGTCCAGCAAGCATCACGGAAGCGTTGTGTGTAGTGGACAAGGGTGCGGCTGTCGGGTCTTCTGCATAATGCACAAGAGCGTTGCTCAGGGGATGTGGGGATACCAATCTCCCAAGCAAAGTCATACCCAATGATGATACGGGCAGCAATCACGTCCCCCTTCCGCGACCCTTTCCCATAGACGTACGAGAGGTCAGGAAGTTTACGGAGGACATCATACCAGGTGGGCGGGGAGTCCAGGGGGATGGCTGCTTCCCGAGCTTCTCTCTGTTTGCGGCGAATTTTGGTCCTAAGCTGAAAAAGTGTTCGAGGAACAACGTAGTCAGGTGTGGCCTTGTTGCAGCCAGTCTTGGCAAGGCCATCTGCTGCCTCACTCCCCAAGATACCGACATGACTGGGTATCAATAGGAATGTCACAGTACGGCCTGTATCCTGATTTTTTTTTTTTTTTTTTAGTGGGATTAGCCCACCCAGGCACAGGTCACTGACCCACATGGGGCCTGGGGTGGCGAAAATGTTGTAATAATAATAATAATAATAATAATAATAATAATAATAATAATAATAATAATAATAATAATAATAATAATAATAATAATAATAATAATAATAATAATAATAATAATAATAATAATAATAATAATAATAATAATAATAATAATAATAATAATAATAATAATAATAATAATAAACCATAGAAAAATACGAAATGAAAAAATCAAAAGTGAGAAACAATATATGTATGTTGTGTTGTCAGTAGTAAGAGAAACAATTGAGACCCTGCAATTGTGTGTAAATGAGGCAGAAAGTCAGATCAGCAACCTGGGACTTGGTCACAATTTTCGTGATGCCATATGGCAGCAGGGTCTACCATAGACAACACATTATGCTTCCAATATCTTCCCAGGCGGTAGTACCTCCCTGTTTGGTAGCTGCCTAATACCTACTACCTCGTATTCGGAGGATGAGGTCCTTATTTTCCCCAGATCAAAATGCGATCCCGTCGAGAGCAGACCTGAAATCGCAGCAGACAAGCAAGAGGCAGAAACCATCGGCTTCTTCCTCAGCGAGAAGGGCAGCAAGGAGAGCTATCAGTTCAGCCTGAGTGGAGGATGCCCCGTCAGAAACTCTGAGAGAGAGTTTGATAGGCTCAGGGGCATCAGGACGGGAGATGTAGATACCAGCCCCGGCACTACCAGTAGCGGGGTCAACAAAGCCACCAGTGTAGAGGACGACCCTACCTGGGGACCAGTGGGCGATCCTGGAGAGGTGGTATTTGCAGAGAATAACAGGGTTCACGTGGGATTTAGGGAGCGGTCCACCGAGGGCAATCACTTCAGGTTGAAAATCCAGCCAGGGAGAAGGAGACGAACCAACAGCAGGGGTGACAACAATATCAGGAAGGAGGTCATGTTCCTGAAGGGCTCGGATGAGTGACCCTCGCCACTGTCTCCTAGATGGAGGTCGACCTCGGACAGCAGGAGTCAAGTTGGCTTGGACATAGTTGCCCCGAGGATCCCGTAGAATGGAAACGGTACTTTTTAGGTAAAACTCCTGGACACGATCCTGTAAGGGGGAAAGACCAAGTTCGGTATATAGAGAAGTAGGGCGTGTCCACTGAGGAGCCCCAAGGATGATACGAGTAGCTTTCCTCTGGATAACTTCAAGACGGTTGACAGCAGTCCGACTAATGTTGACGAGGGCAGGGGCGGCGTAGTCGACACAGGAACGGACAAAGGACTTGCACATGGGGAGAAGCACAGGGATGGTGGCACCAAGGGAACCCCTGCACATGGTAGAGAGGGAAGCGAAACGCCGAAAGCATATGTCTCGAAGATAGCGGACTTCAGGGATCTGACAACGTGTGCGAGTTACATACACACCCAGATCTTTTGTCTCATTAACCCACAGTCCAAGGGCGTTCCTGATAAAAGAAGGGGAGAGGAGGTACAACACGACCCTGCCACATAGCTTTTGTTTTCGCAGTTGAAAGAAGGAAACCAAGTGAATCACACTCTCTGGAGACCAGATCAAGGGCTTCCTGCATGGTGAGGTAGTCAGGGGCTTGGAGAAGGACATCGTCGGTATATCCTGAGTGGACAACTTCAGTCGGCCACGGGAGAGATGCAATGGAGTGCATGAGAGTGTTAAACAAGGTGGGACTCAGGACTCCACCTTGGGGGGTGCCGAGGTTCATTTCTTGAACAGGAGACATAGAGCCTTCAACGCGAACCCGGGCCTGACGTCCAGTGAGGTAAGAGGCGATCCATCGAAGAAGTCTCCCTTTAACCCCTAACCGAGCAAGTTCAGCTAAAATGAGGGCAGGCTGAGCCGTATCAAAGGCTCCCTCGATATCAAGGAAGAAGGAGACGCGGGCAGTCTGATTGCAATATAAGGAAGACAATCATCTTTGTTATTTCTGTCTCGCTCTTGTCAAAATTCTCAGCTTCCCCGAAGTCAACAACGCGCTTGTGAATCATCGCTTACAAATTATATTTAATCTGGTTTTTTTTCGGTCAGAAGCAGGATTAGGGTAATTTTTCATAAAGTTGAAGGAAAAAATGTGTGTGACCGTTCATAATTCTGTTTCTTCCCTGTAAACATTACACCTTAAACCTGTATAACCGGACTGAGAATAACTGATAGTCTTGTAACCTCAACTTATGTTTAATTCTACCAACTGTAGGGTAGGTTGACTCTATCTCTGATTCAGTAAAATCACATCAGACTACAGTAGAAGCCTTTGGGGGTTGACTGAGTTTATATCATAGTCTGTAATGTTATCTTTGTCAGTGATAGTCTTGTTATGTTTACCGAATCACAGCGTCGCCATGCGTCAACACAAGAACATAAGAATGGGGAAAACTGCAGCGGGCCAATTGGTCCATACAGGGCAGTCCCGTTTACACCCAACCCCTATCGTTCATATATCCATCCAACCTATGTTTCAAGCTATCCAGTGTATTCGAGTTAATGATGATGTTTGATAACTTGTTCCACTAGTCCACTACTCTATTTCCAAACCAGTGTTTATCTATCTGGCGCCTAAATCTAAATTTGTCTAATTTAATACCATTGCTACGAGTTCACTCCTGGTAGGATAGTTTGAGTACCTTTGTTTAGCCCTGACTTCCATTTATATACTTCGATCATATCACACTTCACTCTACGTCTCCCGAGGGAGTGCAAATTAAGATGCTTTAACCTTGTCATTCTCCTTTGAATTCTTTCTTGGGATTTTATATCCATTCTGTAGTACGGTGACAAGAACTGAACTGCTTAATCCAAGTGAGGTCTCACAAGCGCAAGATATAGTTTTAGGATAACCTCGCTAGTCTTGTAACTAACACTCCATTGTATGAACCCAAGTACTTTGTTAGCCTTGTTTCGAGCAAATACACATTGTTGACTTGATTTAAGATTCTTGCTTATCATTACTCCTAAATCTTTCCCACAGTCGGATTTCTCTATAACGTTGTTTACATCTCCTTGACTAAGTACATTACATATGTCCGCATTAAATTTCATCTGCCATTTTCCAGACCATGCGAAAAATTTGTAGTTTTGCGGAGTCCTCGTCAGATTTAATTACACGCCCTATTTTAGTGTCATCAACAAATTTACTTATGTTGCTGCCTACGCCTATATCTATGTCGTTTATGTATATAATAAATAGTAATGGTCCAAATACTGAGCCCTGGGGTACTCCACGAGTGACATTACCCCAATCGGGTTTAGTGCCGTTAATGCTAACTCGTTGTTTCCTGTCCTGTAACCACGCCCTAATCCATTTAAGAATATCTCCTCCAATTCCATGAGCCTCCACTTTTCGTATTAGTCTTTCGTGGGGGACTCTGTCGAAGGCTTTGTTAAAGTCGAAGTGACTGTTGATTTTCTCCCTATCTCGAAAACACAACTATAACATTATTTAATTACTATATCTTATAAGGACATGCTTTCATATATTTTGTTTTTAACTTCCACTGCCTACTTGACAGGGGTTCGAGCCTAATATGCTACAACCTGAGGTGACGAAACATGAAATGACGAACGAGAGCATAACACCAATGCCTCCCCAACCAGACATCATGGAGCCAGTGATGTTGCCAGATCCCATGACGCCAGAGATGACTCGGCCACAGACGACGAGACCAGAGATTACTCAACCACAGACGACGAGACCAGAGATTACTCAGCCACAGACGACGAGACCAGAGATTACTCAGCCACAGACGACGAGACCAGAGATTACTCAGCCACAGACCAGAGATTACTCAGCCACAGACGACGAGACCAGAGATTACTCAGCCACAGACGACGAGACCAGAGATTACTCAGCCACAGACGACGAGACCAGAGATTACTCAGCCACAGACGACGAGACCAGAGATTACTCAGCCACAGACGACGAGTCCAGAGATTACTCAGCCACAGACGACGAGACCAGAGATTACTCAACCACAGACGACGAGACCAGAGATTATGCAACCAGAGACCATAAGACCAGAGATTATACAACCAGAGACCATAAGACCAGAGATTATACAACCAGAGACCATAAGACCAGAGATTATACAACCAGAGACGACAACGAGACCTGAAATACTACAACCCAAGACCATGAGACCGGAGATGGTGGAGGCGGAGGAGGAGACAGGGCCAGCACCTCACACGGAGTCACCCACCAAACACGACATAGAACCAGTGACCGACCGAGACTTAGTGGCTGAGTCTATGGGAATCTCGGCTCCTGCTGGAACACCGTTTACCGAGCCTATGGCTGAGAGAGACGAGGTAGGTGTCCTCAGCTTGGTTTGTAAAGGTAAAAATTAGTCTAACCTCACCCATTCTAAACTGATTTGCCCATATAGTATAACTTTACCAAACTTGCGTCACCCAATCTGATCTCATCTAACCTAATTCAACCCAACTAGTTTATCTAACCCACCAATTCTAACTTAACTAACATAATCTGACATAACTAACTTAATGTAATATTTATCAAATTAGCTAAACCTAACTAGCCCTATCTAACCACACCAGACTTATCATAGACTGAGGTAATGTGTAACCAAATCTAACGAAGCCAGAGGTATTTATAATAATTTGCTCTACCTTTCAGACATTGGAGACCATATTTGACTGGCTGGGTGAGACCGAGGAAGGCGAAGTGACCACTCTGCCTCCGGTAGACGAGACGGAGGAAGAGATGCTCAACATGAACGATCACTCGCCCACGATGATGGAAATCCCTGAGACTGTCACAGAGATGATCATGGAGGAAGGGGTAAGGAGGAAAAGTATTATATGGGAAGAGGTAAGGAGGAAAAGTATTATATGGGAAGAGGTAAGGAGGAAAAGTATTATATGGGAAGAGGTAAGGAGGAAAAGTATTATATGGGAAGAGGTAAGGAGGAAAAGTATTATATGGGAAGAGGTAAGGAGGAAAGTGTTGGAGGGTGAGATGAAGGTTTAGGAAGCAGAGACACGAGGCGAGTAAGAAGAATAAGTAAGATGGAAATTAAAAGAAAGGGAAGAAGAGAAAGGGGACTGAATAGAATATATGTATGTAATCATATAGTAGAATAGATGATTGCAAATACGAAATTTAACACACTTACAACTTATCTTCCCACGACAGAGTATGACCGAGCTGATACTGGATGAAGCGTCTACGGAGTACCCGTCCTTCACAGAGAACGAAACCTTCTGAACTCCATCAGCCCCTGAACCACAAAGTCCGTAAACCACATCCAAGGTCTCCAGCAACACAGATTCGCGCCAAAAGTCCCATTGAAGACAAAGAGGCATCTCGGCTTGAGACAGAAATATTCGCGTCAAAACTTTCAGCAATACTGAACTGGTTCTCACCTAAACCACAGGCTGCGCAAATTCGCGCCAAAATCTCTTGAATAGACTCCAGCTAAAAGAGAATTTACCTGAACATGTGTATGTGATATTTCAGGAAACCATGAAATTTTCCTGGAGATGAGAGGACACATGATGTGTCGTTTTCTCAGTGTGATGGGAGTGTGGGGTACAACGAAAATATAAGGTGGGGCTTCCTGTGCCCGCAGCTCTTGACTTCGCGAGATAACCAATGTGGATAACTTACTAAGTTTCATATTATATGTTTTCAGTTCATTGTGTAACATATGATAAGAAACATTACAAGACTTTTCCACACATACTGAACTCCAAGAGAAGCTCACGTGTTTAGTCCTATGAACTAAACTGTCCTGCAATGTTTTAATCAGGACCTCAATATACGGAGTTAATCTGCCTAAATATAGTCAGTGGTGTCCATAATGTATCATTGATTTATAAAAAAAAAATATTACATCGATTTTCTATCTCAGTACGTGGAGGCACTAATAAAAGAACTGCACGTATTGTCTAGAATTCATATTATAGGAGCTGTATATAAAAAATATATACTTTGTTTTAATAATTCATTGTGTACAATCGGCCACAAGAGCATTGGTGTGGCAACGATGAAAATAAGATCGAATCATAGTACTGTACGAGGTTTGTTGCTATGTTGGTATCCCTGAAACCTGCTCGATGGCAGTATATTTAATCGCACATTAACCCTCTCAGTGTTTTGGAGGTTTGCTCCAAGGTGTATCAAATCCTAACGTGTCGTGAGCACTAAATGGATTAATCGAGATAGGTTTTACAGCTGATGTTTTACATTGGTGTCTATTAACGTCAACAGAGATGAAAACAACATAAATATCCTCTTCTTTACTTTTACTTTTATCCTCTTCACCACTGATCGGCCTGTTAGCCGCATGGGTGGTCGGTCACGTCTCTGTTACACACTGTTGGCAAGTACTGGGCATGCACTGGCTCCTGAATGTATCTGAATCTGAGCCAGTGTTGGTTAAGTCTGGTCTTGAAAGAATTCACACTCGGTGCCGTTACATTTTCTGGCAGATTGTTCCGAGAGTTCACAATTCTCACTCCGAAAAAGTTTGCCTTCACAGTTTTCTGGACTTGTGGCTTCTTCAACCTTGAGCTGTGACCCCTTGTGGGGCGGGCGTCCGCCAGCTCCAGATATGGACACCCCCTGCCCGTCTGTATTATAAGCTAGGCAATTGATGGCGTTCTAATCTCTCTGGGTAAATGAGGTGCCGTAGTGCAGGCACCAGTCTGGTGGGACTCCTTTGGACATTTTCAGCCAACTGACAGTCACTAGCATATCTCGGGGACCAGGCGGGGTTGACAGTACTCCAGGCGGGGAAGCACTTCACTCTTAAAGATCGATACGAGGGATTTCTAAATATCTGAACAACCTTCTTGCAAGATCTACTATATGAATTGCTTGATTCACCTTCTCCTCACAATGGCCCGAGAACTTCAGTTCATTGTCAACATACACACCCAGGTCCTTTTCACATTCGGTCTCTATTATGCAGTTTCTTTGTCCCATTGGGACATGTGATACGCCTCCTTACTGTTGGTACAACATAGGTGCATCCCCTTACACTTTGTGACATTGAATCTTATAGCAGCCATTACTTCGACCACTCTTGAAGCTGGCAGAGCTCTTTATATAGCTCTTCACTGTCTGTTTGGTTCTTAATTTCCCTAAATAACTTGGCATCGTCCGCAAGCATTTCTATGGAGGATTGTATAACTTCTGGCATGTCATTTATTAAACAAACAACAACGACGGGCCCAGTACCCTGTGGTACCCAGCTTGTCACGGGTACACACGACGATTTCGTGCCATTAATCACCACACATACTGCTAGCGATCGTGAAGAAAGTCTCCGATCCACGCTAGGATACTTCCCCGAATCCCGTACCCTTCCAGTTTAATTATCAGCCTTTCATGGGGTACGCTGTCGAAATACTTGATAAAATCTAGGTACAGTATATAAAATTATTGTCCATATTGCCGCCCTGTTCCAGAATTTGAGTCCAAACATCCAGGACATTGAGTAATTATGTTAAACATAGCAGCTCTTGTCTATAATCATTCGTGGAGTGATGATCACCCTTTTTGATTATGGGAATCATATAAGCCATTTTCCAATCACTGGGTACCATTTGCTCATCCAGGCATTTACAGAACAGAATCTTCAGTGAGCTCAGTAAGCTCGTTTCACAACTCTCTTAATACTGGGGTACACCATGCCAGCCAGGGCCTGAAGTCTTATGAACCTTTAGAAACTGATTTCCGATTAGTATTGAACTACTCATAGTTGATGTATATCACTTTTAATTTTATGACAGTTGTATATTTTATCAAATTAAGCTCCCTAGTAACTGTACATATGAACATAAGAATGGAGGAAACTGCAGCGGGCCTATTGGCTCATACTGGACAGTCCCATTACACTCAACCCCTATTGCTCATATATAAGAACATAAGAAAATAAGGAGTCTGCAATAGGCCGGTTGGCCTGTGCATGGCAGCTCCTGTCTAGAGTTACTACCACTCTCTATCATCCATGAATCTATCTAGCCTCCTTTTGAAACTTTCCAGAGTTCCCGCACTTACTACAAAGTTGCTAAGCTTGTTCCACTCGTCCACCACCCTATTTGTGAACCAGTTTCTTCCTATCTCCCTCCTAAACCTAAACTTATCCAACTTGAATCCGTTGTTCCGAGTCCTATCCTGCTCGGATATTATAAGAACTTTATCTATATCCCCTTTATTGATTCCTTTCACCCACTTAAATACTTCTATCATATCTCCCCGCACTCTTCGTCTTTCTAGGGAATGCAAGTTAAGTTTCTTTAACCTATCCTAATATGGAAGGTTTCTAAGTCCCGGAATAATTTTTGTCATTCTATAATAGGGGCACCAGAACTGAACCGCATAATCGAGGTGCGGCCTGACTAGCGCAAGATATAGTTGCAATAAGACCTCTGCACTCTTGTTACTTACACTTCTAGATATAAAACCCAATACTCTGTTTGCCTTATTTCGAACATTAACGCACTGTTTTCTAGGCCGTAGGTCCGGGCTTACAAGTACCCCTAGGTCTCTTTCACAAGCCGACTTCTCTAGGTTGATGTTGTTAAGGCTGTATACATTATAAGTATTTGTTCTTCCAATATTAAGTACGCTGCACTTGCTGGTGTTGAATTTCATTTGCCATTTTCCAGACCACCCCTGCAGTTTATTTAGATCCTCCTGTAATGCATTTGCATCCTGCCCTGAATTAATTTGCCGCCCTATTTTGGTGTCATCCGCAAACTTGCTTATGTCACTGCTGATCCCAGTATCTAGATCGTTTATGTAGATTATGAACAAGAGTGGGCCTAGTACTGACCCCTGGGGAACCCCACTGGTTACACGGCCCCACTCAGATTTAACACCATCTACGCTGACCCTCTGCGTTCTATCGGTGAGCCATGATTTTATCCAATTTAAAACTTTCCCCTCGATACCATGAGCCTTAATTTTTCTCAGAAGCCTCTGATGCGGTACTCTGTCAAATGCTTTGCTAAAGTCTAAGTAAATAACATCGTAATTTTCGTCATTATCTACTACCTCGAAGACTTTCCTAAAAAACGTTAGCAGATTTGTTAGACAAGATTTTCCTTTGTAAACCCATGTTGAGAGTCGTAGATTAATTTGCTTTTCTCTAGATGCGATCGGATGCTATCTGCTATAATTGATTCAAGAAATTTCCCCACTACTGACGTCAAACTGATCGGCCGGTAATTTGACGCTGATGCTCTGTCTCCCTTTTTGAATATGGGTACTACATTTGCCTGTTTCCACAAGTCTGGCACAACTCCAGTGTCTAATGATTTTGTAAATAAGTTTACGAGGGTTCCGCTAATCTGTTCCCTACACTCTTTCAAGACTCGAGGGAAAATTTCATCCGGCCCTGTGGATTTTGTTTTCTTTAGTTTATTTATCTTTTTAAGAACATCCTCTTTTCTGATAGTGATATTCTTTAATTTCTCTTCTTCCTTTCCCTTAAATATCAGTTCCACCTCTGGAATTTCATCGCAAATTTCTTCTGTGAAAACTGATAAGAAGTAGCTGTTCAATGCTTTGCTTATTTCTTCACTGCTATTTATCACTTCTCCCCTCCCTGACTTTAAAGGCCCAACTTTGTCCTTGACCTTTGTCCTATATACCTGGAAAAATCCCTTGGGATTCGCCTTGGATTCTCTTGCTATTTTGGTTTCATAGTCTCTCTTTGCTTTCCTTACATTTTTCTTAACATTCCTAGATAGTTCATTATACCTATTTCTGAGCTGTCCAACCTATGTTTGATGGATATATGAGCAATAGGGGTTGGGTGTAATGGGACTGCCCAGTATGGGCCAATAGGCCCGCTGCAGTTTCCTCCATTCTTATGTAGCGATAATGGTATAAGTAAATACTAGTAGCACTAGTAGTAGTACCAGTGGTAGTAGTATTTTTAGTCGTAGAAGTAGTAACACAAGTATTAATGACAACAGTAGTGATAACAAATGGTTAAAGTAATAATAATAATAATAATAGTAGTAGACGTAGTAGTAGCAGTAGTAGAGAGTGAGCTCCAGTCTTGCTACACAAAATAAGACAATGAGAGTTTACAAATAGTTGAAGGTACCCTGTAACGTACTGTACTTTCCCGTCGGTTTTTCATTATACTGCACAGTACTGTACTTGTGTTAGCCGTGGGAATTAATCCTTCGAGAAGCATATTAGTTATGACTACTTGATAGCCAATGATACCTTCGTTGATTCATTTTGAATTAATGACAAAGGATTTTTTGCCATCAGCTGTTTTTTGTTTATATTCTTGAAACGATTATTATTATTATTATTATTATTATTATTATTATTATTATTATTATTATTATTATTATTATTATTATTATTATTATCATCCTAGACAGAGGCGTGTCATGAGATTCTCATCAAGACGGCTGCCTCTTAAATGCTGTGGTTAATAATAACCTCCCCAAGTCCTGTGCGCACATTCTCAAAGAAGCTAATCCCCCCCCCCCCCAAACCTGGTAATAAAAGTATTTTTTAGTGATTTGTTAAAACTATAGCATAATGATGGATTCTCAGAGGTTCTTTGGTTAGATTTTCATTCTAACTGGAGATGCTGGCTCACTTAAGGTACTGCTGCCAGTGCTGTGTAAAAATTAATCCTTAAAGGTTCGCGCAATAAACTTTTCTCCCAAGCTGGAGCTAACATGCACCTAGCGCCTTCACTCGAGATATGACACAAAGATGAATACTAAAAGGTGTTTTTTTTTTCGTTTAACTTGTATCTAGTTCACTAAACGAAAAGTAGAAAACAGCTCTCAAAATGTGTAAGTTACAATGAATCTTGACTCTCACTTGACACGTTCTCTCATCACCATTCATAAGAAGAAAAGTTTACAATCGACCCTTTGAGGCTGTGTAGTGGACCCCCTCCCCCCCACACTCCCTACCACGGTGAGTTATGACAATGTGTATGCAGGTATCATGTTCAATATCAATACCTGAATTTTTACAATATGAGAAACGCCATATAAGTGTTTTATTTAAGGAACCTGTGAGTTACATGGTGTGGAACCTGTGAGATACATGGTAGGGAACCTGTGAGATACATGGTAGGGAACCTGTGAGATATATGGTAGGGAGCCTGTGAGATATATGGTAGGGAACCTGTGAGATACATGGTGAGGAACCTGTGAGATACATGGTAGGGAACCTGTGAGATACATGGTAGGGAACCTGTGAGATATATGGTAGGGAACCTGTGAGATACATGGTGTGGAACCT